CATTATATTGTGTTTGGTGCCCCAGGCACTTACAACTGGAAAGGTATGACTTGGCTTCCTTCCTGCCTGCCCTTCCCATTTCCTCTGAGATTGCTCTCAAAGGTTGAATCCAGAGTTTTAATTGGTTTTTAAGGGGAGAGGAGATAATAGGGATGTAATGATTTTACCCTGTTTTTACAAAATGCTATGCTTCTGTATCAACATTTACTGAAATTTCTTTAAATATCTTTGTGTGTATTTATGAATAATGGAACTTTGCACATATGTACAGCAGATTTTCCCTTTATTAGTCTTAATCTTACAGTGGGATTGAGGGCTTACTTGGACACTTCCATACAGGAACAAACTACTAAATTTGTATGAGTTACTTGACCAGCTCTTTTTCTGCATTTGAGCAAATGTTAGGTAGCTGCTGAACTCTTTGTTTATTCTGCAATATTCTCTCCTTTATTCTTTGTGAAGTTTGTGGAAACCAGTACATTCCAAAATAAATATTGAAGGGTTGCAGGAAGGTAACAGCAATACTACATATATTCATATCTAAATCCATGAATGTCCATGTAAAATTTCATGGATAATCTAAGAGCCAAGTACTCTGTGTCATCTAGGAGATTCTCCAAAACATAAGGGGAAAAAAGCCTGGGTATTCTTTGTTAGTTTATATTCAGAAGCATTTATATGCCCAGTTCAGTCTCTAGAAGTGATTTTTCCCATCACACTTCATTACACCAACAGCTGTAAATACTTTCCTCTTGAGAACATCTGATCCTCCAAGCACTGCATTTTTCCACCTCGTACACCTGTGCCTGGTGTATGAACCGTGCAAAATCAGTGTGTTAAGCTCTGGCACAAGGTGTACTTTAGTGAAAATGTAATATTCCATGTATCTGTCAACAAAATCTGACTGACCTGAAACAGCATACTGAGTGCAGACACCATTTTACTTTAATTGCTGAGAAGTGCTAGTACAGTCCTAAGAGTACTCTTCTGTGTAATGGAAAAACATGTTTGTGCTTGCCAAAACCTTAATTATGCCAATTGATGAAAGGGAAGCACACTTTTTATTGAACAATAGCTTTGTTCTTCTTAATACTAAGTATAATGCTGGTGTTTGTCAAAATGAAATGTAATTTTTAAAAAATCCCCGTGTACTTAACTCCTTTTTAAGAGAAGCATTATAAGGCTAAGAAATACAGGATGAGGGTGGTTTATGACCAAACCAGTTCAATGGGGGTTTTTGGGAATTTCCTTAGTATCCCATGTTTTCCAGATCATTGTATGACTTCTTTGTAAAGCAGCGTGAGCTTCTGGCACACAGAGACAAAACACTAACCCAGTGCACTGTTCTGTGTTTGTCCCATTTTAACAGCAGCCACTGTGTCATTCATCATAATTAATATAAGTTGGGAACATTTATTTGTTATTTTTCTCACTTATCATTTGTTTGCTTTTATTTTATCATTTCATTTTTTCAGGGGTGGTTCGTGCAGAGCAAAAGAATCAGACATTTTATGATCTGGGTATCTTTGATGATGGGCCTTACGAAGTTGGCGATGAGAGCCGCCAGGATAAGAATCTAGTTCCTGTTCCAGCTAACAGTTACTTAGGTAGGATTAAGTACATGTGGTAAATCTCTTAAACATTTGTGATGCCAGCCTGGTGTGATGATCTGAAGTGGGAGCAGATGTTCCATTGTGGACCCTGTAACATGTTAACTCTTTGGGATAATTCACAGCCTCCCTCCACATTTATGGGCCAGTTTTAAGTGTAAGATGAGACTGCTGAGGCACCTAGAAGAGCTGCTGTTGTAATGTGAGATTCAAGAGCTGTGCCAAGGGCCTATGGAATCTCCAGGAGTGATTATAATCACTGTGATGGGTCAGTACAACGAATGGGTCTGTAGTCCTTAGTTGCACAGTCTCTGCTATGTAGTATCAGAAAGTTTATCAAAATTAGAGTTTCTGGATGTAACTGTTAAGGCTGTAGATTTTCTCTCCTGGTAGGTAAGTGCAATTCTTCTATTCTTTATGCTTTTAAAACTCCAGTGGCTTTTAACAGACCTTTAAAATGCCATAATATAAGTACTGTTTATATTTTACTGATGTGTGTGTGTTGCAGGAGGTGCATCTCTTGCTCTTTGTGCAGTCAAGAAAGCAAGAATATGTCCTTAGGCCAGTGACCTTTCTGTACACCAGGGAGATACACTGAAAAGGCTGTGCTGCATTTTTGGAAAAGCATTATGTGTAAAGAATCCTTCTGTTCCAGTGCAGATTTCTGTGGTGTGTTGATCCACTGCTTTTGGCATGTGCAACAAACAGAGTTTTGGTAACATGAGACTGGAATTTCTGTGTGAGTGATGGAAAGCTGAATAGATGGGAAGGGCATTGCTAATGTAAAAAATAAAAAAGCAAGTCAAGAAGAGAGCAAACTTAGAGCTACATATATGTTAGGAGAAAGAGAACATAAACTTCTGTTAAATATCAGCAGTAATTACTGGGTGTAAAGCTAACTAGAAAAATCATCCTAAGAGCTTAGATTAGACAAGCTGATAGCATCTTCTGGTGGAATAAGAATTGAGGAGCGCTGTGGAGGCCGATGCCTTTTGCTGTGAACAGTCATATAATCTTTTTCCTGTTGCGTAACCAATGCATTTATCTCCTAAATGTGGATGCTGCCTTGATTTGTAATAATCAGAACCACTTCCAGGCAAACCAGCTCATCTCAGGCATTACTGTTCTGTCTGTTTAGGCCTTAAGCAAATGTGGTTATAGGTGCTTTGCTTAACTACTATTTTTTTTCTCTTCAATCTTTCACTCATATTTATAGGTCTTCTATTTTTGACAGCTGTATCTGATACTCATCCAGATCAGTTTGTGTACAAAACATTGCCTCCCAGCATACAGGTGGACAAGTCAGTGGATGTAATGATGAATAGCTACTTAGGTTTGTGACCACTTGAAGTGGCAGCATCTGGTCAGACATAATCTCCAGACCTTTGTCATGATCCTCTCCCCTCTATCCCCTCTCATATCAAATATAAGTAAAGCATGAAAAAAACAGGGATTCAGATAAAGGGGAGTCAGCAGAGTAACAAGGCTTGAGAGAAATGCTGATTTGTCATGCATTTCTCTGAACCTTCTCATCTTTCCCGCAGCTAGGACTCCCTCAGTTTTTTCTGAAACTGTCTCATTGTGAATTGCTGTAATTGAGAATTTCCACAGTAGTGATGAAGTGTTTCAGAGGGAGACTGCCATCTGGCTGGTATCTTCCTTCCTTGCAAAGTGGGCATTTTTCTACTTCGGCCTTCACTGGCTATATGGGTATATGCAGTATAGTCTTTAACTTGGTTTTTCATATTTTAAAATGGATTGTAAGACTAAATTAATTTGGACATGTCATTTTTAGGGCTGCATTAACTAAAAACTTCCCATTTCACCATTACTGTGTAAGCTGATTCTCAAATACTGCATACATCATTCATGTGAGAATGCTTGTGCAGAAGAATTTGCATGCTTGTAATAGAACGATACTGACTTTACTTAGGAGGTTTTCTGATAATTTGGCCAGAGGTGAAGTACTCAAGCTATATTGAAGTGGTAAAGCTGTAATTGTGTCTAAGCTGTATATATCCTGTGTTTGGGATCTGTGAAAAGCAGGTCCAAGTGAGCAATGAAGTACTGTGTTTTGTGGGGAAACACTAACTGTAATGTATGGAGGAGTGTTTGTAAGAATGTAAAAACGTGTTGACTTGCAAATACACATCCACCAGTGCAAACAGAAATGGAGAATTCCCAACCATAGCACACTGTGTTTTAGACAAAACTTATATTCCATATACCACTTTAATATAGCTGGGGAAATGTTTATTTTTTCATATTAAGATGCAAGTTGTTACTTAGTTAATTTATACTTTATTTCTTTTCTCTGTTAAAGGTTTCTCTTTGGACTCTGGTAAAGGAATTGTCTCCCAAGATGAGATGACTTTTGTGTCTGGTGCCCCAAGAGCGAACCACAGCGGAGCAGTAGTTTTACTAAAGAAAGAAAAAAATCAGAGAGCACTTTCCTTGGAGCACATGTTTGAAGGAGAAGGGCTGGCCTCCTCTTTTGGCTATGATGTTGCTGTTGTGGACCTCAACAGTGATGGGTATGGCTCTGATTAACTCCTGCTGCTGGTATAGTGATCTTGTTTATTTCTGCTTTGGTTTTTCACATTAGAAATATAAGGAATGACAAAGCCCACCTTCCATGTTTTCCTGGAGGAAATGGTGAGCGTCTTGATAATCAATCAGGATAGAGTCTACCTTTCTAATGAAGAGTTTTATTTAAACAATTATTGTAAACCGAGAAACAAGAAACCAGTCTCATACCCCAAGAAGACCATGGAAGGTCCTTGTATGCCATCAAGGGAATAAACCAGCTTGCAGTGTCAGTGGGGCTGTTGATGCCCAAGCAGTTTAATGCACATTTTAGTCTTTGTTCAGCCGCTCTCTAGGCAGCTGATCTTGAGCTCACAGTCTTAGCAGTTATTCTTCAGAGTTCTCCTACAAATGCATTGCCTTTTCTTTTCCCTTTTCATCCTAAGCTGGCAGGACATCGTTGTTGGGGCCCCGCAGTACTTTGACAGAAGTGGGGACATCGGGGGGGCCGTGTACATCTACATGAACCGCCAGGGCAAATGGGCAGGGGTGAAGCCTCTTCGCTTGAATGGAACCACTGACTCCATGTTTGGACTTGCGGTAGAAAATGTTGGGGACATTAATCAGGATGGATATCCAGGTAAATGGAAAACCATGGCAATAAAAGTGTGTGAGATTGTTTGGCCAATGCCAGACTTGTAACATCTTACCCTTTGATTGCACGCTGCAGAAAGAGCAAGAATGATTTTAGATGTTGCAACTTATTTTCACCAGATATTGCAGTAGGGGCTCCATACGATGGTTTTGGCAAAGTATACATTTATCATGGATCCAAGAATGGAATAAATACGAAACCAGCACAGGTAATGAAATAACCTTTACTATATAATCATTCTTGAACACAATTAAAGGAATGACAGGGCTATTATCCATCTTCCTTTCCATTGCTATTACTGGTGTGTTGGGTATACAGGAAAGTCGCAGGGCCCTTCAAAGATTGCATTGCTGACAGGAAAGATTAGGAATTCTTGTTATTAACAGATATTTTTATTTCTCTGGCCATCCACTGGCACCAGTAATATGTGCAGAAAGAAAAAGATGTATAGATCTGGGTTTTTTAAAAAAAATCTGGTGCTTTGAAAACAATTACTTTCTTTGTTTTCTCTTTCATTACTACTGTTTCACTTCCTTCTTAAAATGTTTGGCTGGTTGTTGTTGGTTTTTTTGTTTTTTTTTTTTTTTTTTGTTTTGAAGGTCACTGTGTCCAGTTTGCAGGGTGGGAATGGAACTCCATTATATTCCCTAGAATACTGCTTGAATACTTTGCAGAATACTTCTTCTGTTTTAAGTGTTCATAGTCCATAAATACTGTAAATAAACATGAGAGTAATAAACATTTTTATTTAAAATTATGTAATAAACATAAGCTCTCGGCAGATGAGTAATTTCTGGTACTCACTGCTATTGCCAAGTAACTTCTTGGAAGAAGAGCAAATCGTCCTGGCACTTCAGTATCCTTTAGCTGAACTGAACACAGAGGTCCTATTTCACAGGTCCTACTTCATTGTATCTTTTTCCCTCTTTTGTCTCTGACTGTAAGACAGTTATGTTCAGTTGTTACTTATTTTACCTTTATCACTTTTAAATGTCTGAATTCCCTCAATCTATTTGCTTTTTAGATTCTTGATGGTGAAAAAACAAACACCAATTTCTTTGGTTACTCTATTGCTGGAAATATGGACCTGGATAAAAATTCCTACCCTGATGTTGCTGTTGGTTCCCTGTCAGATTCTGTAAACGTGTACAGGTATTAATATGGAACCTTAATTAATTACACCAGGGCTTTGGGACAAACAACTTTACTTCTCAGGCAGAACAGCCCTTCCTACAATTTATGCTCCCATCTCTAAGGTGTATAGTATCTGTGCACCTAATAGTAATGTTCTTAAATACACTGGAACAGCGCCTGAGAAAAGCAACTCACATGGCTTGTGGAAGAGAACAGAGTAGGTGGTAGAGGAGTTGGTCAGATTATTTAGCATTCTGCTTACTCAAAAGGAGCTCTAATCTTTTGCTGATAAAGGCAGGACAAAAACTTTTACCAAGGTGAGAACAAAAACCTCTTATGGTGACAAAGAGTGAAAAGAGTGGCCCAGTTAAGTGGGGCAGGTGGCTTACCAGCTATTTTAAACAACCTTTCAATGCTTTAATGAGAACAGGATCACCTCATTCATTTGTTCATGTGAAATGTCTTCTCCCTTCCAGAAAAAAGACAAGTTGTCAGGCAGAAGTATGGTTACAGCCTACATGCAGAGAAAGCAGGAAATAATCATTTCCCACAACCACCAGGCTCCAAATTAAAGCTCTTGTGAACATGAACCTGAATGAGCTGTAGTACCTATAGCTGTTCCCAGGGGCTGAATTGCTACTGGTGGTAGAAACCCCCACTGAATTTTCTGGTTTTTGTAAGTGTACAGAAAGACAACAACAACATCACATTAGAGTAGCCTGCTTCCCACTCAGGATCTGTAGTCATTCTCACTGACCTTTGCTTAGCTTTTAATATATTTTAGGTTTTTTTCTAACCAGTGTCAAAGCCAAACTCTGTGTTTCTTAGAGTGTCTTTGTTGCAAATCAGTGCAGGGGTGGAGGGAATCTGATATTCACATTAATTATTTTATTAATCTTAACAGAAACTACTTCTTTTTTTTTTACATCTTCCTTTTATTCCCTGTTTTTCCCCCAAATGAAGATCTCGGCCTGTGATAAGCATTAGAAGAAACATTACAGTACAGCCTGATAGAATTGATCTAAAGAAAAAGAATCCTGAGGACCATGGTGAAATCAGGTAAATGGAAAGAGAAATTCCTCTATCTGAAGCCTTGGTGTATTGAGCTTTCTACTGTCAAAATTCATTCAGTGATCATGTTTAAGTGAAGGGATATGAGAGTCATGCAGGTTAAGCAAATGTATCTGCATATGTTCATTTTGACTTCCTGAATTTTTTCAGCCTACTCTGCTAAAGACAAGGTGTGGAATATGTCCTTCTTATAACATGCATTTTTGGAAATTGATGTCACCTTGCTTCTGCAGACTTCTAACACAAGTATCTTGGCTTGAACAGCTTTGTCTTGAGTAGACACATAGGAGCAAATGCTTAATTGCTTATTAACCATTTTTCTTGCTTTATAATTCAGTCTAGTAAGCAGTAAATACCACAGTCATGACTGATCAGTTGAAACTTTTCATTCTGTTGGACCATGCCTTAATAAAAGTTAATACTAATTTCTTGGCACTTTTTACAGGATGGATGTGAAAGCATGTTTTAAATATACTGCAAACCCCAGAAATTTAAATCCAAGAATAAGTAAGTTCTGAAGATAAACATTTTTGATCTGTTTGTCACATGGTTTGTTTTTGGGTTTTTTTTTCTTTCTTTAGAGTTCATCATGGAAACATATTACTCAAATTATAGTGAGTCATCTCAGACAGTGACTGACAAATTTAAAATGTGACTCAGTGCTAAGCTCAGCTGTTGCACAGTCTGTATTTAGAGTCATGCTGGTGTGTTAAGCTGTTCTGTGGATGACAGACTAAAGCTTTCTAAGTAATGCAACTGCCAATGAACAAATGGCTTCTTTACAGACCCAAACCATTTTACCTCTCTAGGTTAGTGCTGCTTTAGAGAATCCTAAACCTTTTTTAATGTCAATTTTATACATCCTTAGTGAGCATTATTTCTTATTGGAGGCTTACCCTATGAACCTGTCCTGTATTCATGAAAATGGTTTTGTGGAAATCATTAACTGAAATAAAAAAGTCTACATTAATAGGAGAAGACTGAAAGACTATGCCATAAAGATGTAAAGCACTTGTTACAATGCTGCTGTTACTACCTCTTGGAGAACTGTGTAGGATTTTGAGAGGAAATGAGAACAACTTTAGGCCAATGACCCTTTTTCTCCTGTGTTGTCTTGAATTCCTCAGTTACTTTTAAAATCCAAAGGCTGTGCCTGAATGAGTGCTGGTCCTTTAGCAGGTGAAGTGTTTGAAGCAGCTCTCAGTGCTTTGGCACACTCAGTGCTGTTTCCATCTCTGCAGCACTGAATTAGCTCGGTGAAGCAGTCATTAAAAGATGCACTGAGTTCAGATCTAGAAAAGCATACCGCAGCACACAACTGGACAGCTCTAGTCACAGTTCTGCTTTCAGTGTTAAAATTACCAGTGTATCTTTCTTGACCTCAGAATCCTGCTGGCTCTGGCTGGGCTATTTACAGCGGGTAGCTCAGCCCTCTGCTGGCTCCATACAGCAATTACAGCTCCCCCAGCCAGCCCCCATGCCCAAGGGAACGCTTTACTTAGGGAATAATAGGATTTGGTTTAGAAATTTTCTTTAGATTCACACACGGGGTACCTGGCCCTCAACTGTGGCAGGACAAAACTGACATGGAGAAAGTTTTTTTTTTTTTTTTTTTTAAATGACTGAAAACAGTTTGTGAGCCCAGCACTGTCTGGAACAGTCTTCTAGAATAATGCTTAAGATCATATCTTGTGAAATTAAAGTTCTTTTTAAAATGTTAATGATTCTTTTTCTTTATGGTGACCTACTTTATTTTTTCACATAGAGATCAATTACACGTTTGAAGTGGAAAATGAGAGGCGGCAGCTGGGCCTGCCCTCCAGGGTGCGCTTCAATGACCACTCATCTGATCAGTTCACTGCAAGTACAACCCTCAGGGGACAGAACTCATGGGAGTGTGTCACTACAAGGCTTATACTGCAGGTAAGGGAGAGTATTTTATTTATCTTTCATTTAGATCCACTCTTTTTTTGGCAGCCTCTTGGAAGGAACCTTTGTATATAATTTTGTATTTAATTTCAAAGTCGTATGCAATATAAAACTTCAAAAATAGAAACCCACCGTAGTTTACTATTCTCTGCACACACGATGCTTCCTCCTGTTGCCTTTCTTGCAAAGTATGGATAAAAACTGTAGCCACTGCAGCACACTCTGGAGGTCAGTAGAGCTGAACTAATTTAGAGCAACTGAGTGCCAGAAATGGAGAGCTGCTTCCAACAGAAATAATTGTTACAGAATTTTATAGTGACTGTTCAGGAAAAGAATTTTAAGCCAATGGTTTTGGAGTGGATGAATAGGCAGGGCAAGAAAGCTTGGTATGTGCTCTCTTGACTTGGCTGCTGTAGTGGCTCCTAGAGGTGGTATTGCTCTAGAGGCTAAACAGATTCCCTCTCCATGGCTCAGCAGGAATGAGTTAGCCTCCAAGACTGCTTTTGATCACAGCAGATTAAAGAACTGTAATTTATGAATTATAGTTTGGGTTGAAAGGGACCCTAAGGATCATCTAATTCCAACTCCCATGCTAGGGGCTGGGACACCTTTTATTAGACCATGTTACTCAAACCTTGTTCCAGTGTGTGATTTTACTACAGCTGTGTGAATTTCACCTGCCTGAATTACTGTCTGTGGTTCATAGGAATTCTTAATGGTGAGACAAATTGTCAGATTGGGAAACCAGAGATAAAAAAGGACAATAGTGCTGGGCTCTTTGTGTTCTTGCATGTTTAGAAAATGTTGAATTTATATACAGTACAAAATCTCATATTTGTGTTGTTTTTTTCTTCTCTACACTGTACACTAATGATGCAATTTAAAATATTTTAACAGGAAAAAATTAAAGATAAGCTACGTCCCATTCCAATATCAGTCAGTGTTAAAATTGCTGGCCTGGAGTCACCATCCAAGAGAAAAGAGAGTGCACTTCCAGATCTTATACCAATTCTAAATTCAAATGAATCTGAAACAGAGACCACAAAAGTAAGCCTTTCATATCACATACTCACAAAAATCTGTACTTCTACAAATAACTTAGTTTTAAAGACTGTAGAAAACTAAATTATGTCCAAAGGAAATAATTGGGGTGGCAGTGGACATGTAACTATTGGATTATTATTTTATATTTTATTCTGAACTTGTTACAACATGTTACAAACTATGTACTGTGTTCTTCTGCAACAAAAGTGAAGATGGTATATCTCCTTGGTTTCTTCCCTCTCCCCAGTAAGTTTTGGAGGAAATGTACTTTTGATTAAAAACAGAAATTCATTGTCTCCTGTTGGGAACATTTGTCCAACATAACAAGATAATCTACACTCTTAATTCTTCCACTGTTAGGAAGCTGGAATGGCATTTGAGCAATGACTGCAGCAGTGACATAGCAGGGAGGGAATATCTCCATTAAAAATGCTCATTTCCTTAATGCTTATTGGAGAATCGGACAGAAAGATGTATTTTCTCATAATAAGGGTACCTCTCATTTAGAATTATCCAACTCTGCTTTTTAGTCACATTTAAAGTTCTAAGCTACCAGCATCAAGGACTGTATCTCACAAAGCAAAACTCGACAGACAAGAATTAAGTCAGGTTAAAATCTGAACTCTGTCCAGGAAAGTGCCTTGTGAGTTCCTTGTAGATGCTTTATTTAATGTGTTTCAGGAATCTAATTTTAAGCTACTATTTCGTGTCAGGCAGTAAAATTGGTTTGGTTTTATTTAGGTGGAGTTCTTAAAAGAAGGATGTGGAGAAGACAATGAATGTCACAGCAACCTTAAACTTCAGTACCGGTTTTGTACGAGAGAGGGAAATGAAGACAGGTTTACTTATTTACCACTGTAAGTCTTGATTAATGCACTTTTAAAGTTCAAATTATTATCAAGTCCTTAAAAGAACTTTTAGGACAGGATTTTGGGAAAGAGAGCAGCTTTTTTCTGTGTCTGGCAAACACAGCCCTTGGTAATAGTATTGATTTGTCAGGGTGAGGAATGAGAGCAGAGGGGAAGAGCTTGAGAAGAAAGGTAGTTCAGAGTTGAATGGATACTAAGTGGCCACAGTAGTGCAGGGTAGGGCTAAAAGAAAAAAAAACAAGCCAATTTAATACCTGGAGAAATGATATTCTAAACCAGCTTTGCAGTAGTTTATTGTGTGACACTGTTAATTATTTTGCAGATGAAACTTGACTCTATGACAATTTGATAGAGTATGGTCTCGTAGCCCAAGAGAAGTCGTTACAGAGAAATGCAGTGATGATTTAATTTTAACACATGCCCCAGCACCCTGCTGCATCCCTCCTTCCTGGAGGGCCAGTGAAATTAGAGCAGGGATAAAACAAACAAATGTTTGTTTACTGCCAGCAGTCATACATTTTTAGCAGTGAGTGCCACACTCCGAAGCCAAACCCAT